CCTTTGAGCTAGTGTTGATCTTATCTTGGGGATAATCTTCCCAATGCACCACTTGGGGATAATCTTCCCAATGAACACAAGAAGAAGATACTTTCTCACTCTAGGGCTCCCTTCTCTCTTCCTTTCAGCTCATATTATATACCAGGATCAGGCTTAGTTCACGACCGTGAACTCTTCAACGCGTCCGTGAACACAGAGCGTAATGTCTAAACGCACCGCTTCGCCATCAGGAGTTCATGGTTGGGCCTCAATCTTCACGGTCTTGTTGACCGTGAACTGCAATGCTAACCCGTGAACTCCGCCTGGATCACCCTCTTTGCCCGGTCTTCGCCTCTTTTTGTCCAACTTTCGACTACGGGGCTGGTTTCACCTGTTGTATCCTGAAACACACTAAAACGCACAAAACCTAACGTAAAATCACCCTTTTAGGAGTCCAAATGCTACAAACGCCCAAGTAAAACGGGGATAAAATGTATGAAATTAGGCCCGAATCAACGTCTTTTTCAGCAAATTGGTAAGCACCACCACTGGATGCGCCTGGAAGTACGGCCTCAACTTCTCAGCCGAAACAATGACAACCAATGCTGCATTTTTTATGGGCGTATACCTCGATTCCGGGCTAGTCATCACCTTGCTCACATAATAGACTAGTCTTTCTTCTCCCAACTCATCTTCCTTCGATACAAGCACACCGCTCACCGCCACTCGCGAGACCGCGATGTATAGGTAAAGCGCCTCGCCCACCTTGGGAGCCATCATTACCGCGGGCTCCGTCAGCAGGTTCTTCAATTGTTCGAACGCCACGTCACACTCCTCCGTCCACTTGAATCGCGAGGCCTTTTTCAGCACGCAAAAGAAAGGCGCCTCACGGCCTGCTGCTCTTAGAATGAAACGCCCTAATGACGCTAGGCATCCATTTATGCTTTGGACCTCTTTTGGCGACCGTGGAGGATTGAGGCTTGTGATGGCCGCCACCTGCTTCAGGTTAGCCTCAATCCCTCTTTTCGTGATCATAAACCCCAAAAATTTTCCGGCCTCCGTACCAAACACGCACTTCAAAGGGTTAAGGCACAAGTTATTGAGGTGCATGGACTGAAGGTCTCCCACAAGTCTGTCAGGTGTTTACCTCTTTCCCGGCTTTTGACCACCATATCATCCACTTACGCCTCTATATTCCGCCCAATCTACTTCTTGAACACCTTGTTTACCATCCTTTGATACATTGCCCTCACATTTTTAGGCCAAAGGACATGACCTTGTAGCGGTAGTTTCCGAATGGGGTCATGAAAGCTGTCTTGTCCCTGTCCTCCTTGCACATCGGTATCTGGTGGTAGCCCGAAAACATGTCGAGAAAACCAAGCGCTTGGTGGTAAGCTGTCGCGTCCACCAACGAATCAATTCTTAGCATGGGGTAGGCGTCGGTCGGACACACCCGATTCAGACTTGGGTACTAGGACCACATTGGAGAGCCACGTCGTGTACTTTGCTTCCTCCATGAACCCCGTTTCTAGTAGCTTGGTGACCTCTTTCCTCAGTGCTTCCTCATTGTCAGCGCTCAGCAGCCTCCGCTTCTGTTGCACAGGGTGCTCGCCTCCAGCTATTCCCAAGCGATGCTCCGCGACTCCAGGCTTAACCCCCCGACATTTCTTTGGCGCTTGGTAGGTCTTTTGGGCGCACGTCCACGTTGTACATTTTGTCTTTTCGCGAGACGTGACTTCTGCGATCCTTCTCCCCGGGAAACGCCTACCCCTCCTGAAGTGATAAACTTGAACACCTGGTGATAGGAGGAGGTCACCCCATTAAAAAGCGCTAACAGCGGTCGCCCTAGAATCACATTGCACGGCGAGGGGCAGTCCATAATGCCGAATTCGACCATGCTTGTCACTCAATGCTCCTCATCGCCTAGAGTATCAACTAACATTTGCTTCACCTCACACCCAGCCACTATCCCTCGAACCTCGAGCGCCTCTACAGATATTATCCAACACGCTTCCTCTGACACTCCATTGAAGTGGATGTGGATGGCTGTCCGAGCGCTTGTCGTGGCTGATTTCAGGCGCCTTCCTTCCTCCAGCTTTTGCCTCAAGTCGACTGATCTGGTGATGGCTTCTATGGTTAGTTTGACACACCCTTTGTCGGACTCTTGGTCATAGTAGAAGGAGGGAGGTGGGGGCGCCTCCCGGATTTCCTCCCGCGGGCAAGGTTCCTTATCCTCTTTGGCCACCGGACTTGCCCTGCGCTCGAGCTGCATGAAGGGGCATTGCGCCTTGTCCTCTCCTTTCTTGAAAAACTCTCCCAGCATCCACTGGTCCACCAAGCCCTGCACCTCCGATTTGAGTTGATAACAATCCGTTGTGTGGTGCCCGTGCTCGCGATGGAAGTGGCAATACATGTCCATGTTTTGCTCATTAGGACGCCCCCTTATGTGGCCAGGCCAGCGCAAGTGGTACCCCTTGTCCTTCGCGTACAACAAGAAATTCTTCAGTGAGTCGTTAAGCTCAGTGAAGTTTCCCCCTCCTTTTACCGTCGGGCATGGTGCTTCGGCTAGCCATGTGGGAGGCGAGTTGTACACCGGGTTGTACGATAAAGTAGGTCCTCGAGGCGCCTTGAACCCATCACCTTCCTCTTGTCTTTTCTTTCGCATGTCCATCCTTCTTGCAGCAAAGAAACGGTTTCTTCATGCATTATGACCTTCTACATCCTCCGATCCAGGTCCTCGGTGGTGGTGATCCCTTTTGGACAGTGCCCTACACAATTCTTTGCTTGTTGTGCATTCTTTCAGGAAACATCCCAGGACAGGGGGTTTAAAGTCCTTGACCACCATTGCTACTGACATCCATCGCTCATAAAGGTCACGAAGCACCTCTCCTTCTTGCTGTCGAACTTTGAACAAGGCGCTTATGGTGAGGCTCCGGCGCTTTCGCCTAGCAAATTTCGATAGGAACATGGCGGCAAACTGCTCGAATCCGTCAATTCTCCCTTCGTCAATTTAATGATACTAGTCAAGGGCTACTCCCGTGAAGGTGGAAGGAAAGGCTCTACATAGCGTGGCATCGAAGTTGTTGTACAATTGTGTCTTCGTAAAATAGTTGTTCAGGTGGTCCTCTGGGTCATTTGTTTCGTCATAGCTTGGCAACGTAGGGATGACAAAATGGGCTTGTCCGGCCAAGATGCTTCGCTCAAGAGGCTGCCTTACGCTCCAATGTCTCCCCGTGCGCTTGTGCACCAATTCGTTGTGCTTGTCGAAATAAGATATGGTGGGATTTGTGTATGATTTTGTAAATGATGAAGATGAAGTCAACAGAAACTTACCCAGGAACAGAGAAAGAAAAATTTGCAAAAGAAAATGGTAAATTTGTATTCCCAAAATGGCTCACCCGAAATTCTCCATTCCAAACTCAGCGTGTATCATCATCCATCAAAACTAGACTAATCTCCAAGAGGAGATGAAACAGGGGATTCGATAGGGGTTTAACAACCTTGTTCCACTATCATGAAATCCATAGACAGCTCCCGAATTGTCACAAAAATCGCCAATTAATTGCGACTCATCTGAACGGATTGAATCCCCAGAACTCACTTTCTTAGAAATAGTGGATTATTTTCACAATACCAAGACCAAAGACAATTCTCAAACGCTCAAACACTTTGCTCCGCACTCTCAAATTGAAACAAGAACAAGTTGGTACCAAAAAAATACACGAGAAGAGAACCCTATCTTCGCACCCCCGAAATCTCTGAGCTCAGCAACGGATCTTGGAAATCGAATGAGCCTCCGCGAGAGTTGAGTAATTGACTGGCTAAGGCGTTTAGCCAACGAAAGCACCTTCATCGCACTGCCCTGGGATGGGAATAACCAATGCTCCCCCAACCGTTTCCCATAACCAACTCTTAATTAATTAATTAAAATGGTAATTAAGTAAATAGAAACGCAGTCACTAACTAAACCCAGAAAAGTAATACTCGATGGGGCTAGATACTATAACAATACTCCTTTTGTTGTTATTGTAACAACACTAGTCTCCAACCAATAGGAAGGTAGGGTTGTGATGACTTTTTATTAGTTGAGTTGACCTAGTGTAAAATCAAAGCAGGGGTATAATCGTCCTTATGAAAAAATTAAAAAAAATAAAAATAAATCAAAGCAGGGGTATAATCGTCCTTTTGGTCGCCGGAATTCGGCCACCGGTCGCTGGAATCTGGTCGCCGATCACCGGAATGTGCTTTTCGTCGCCGGAATATGCTATTTTCTCATCGGAATATGCCACCGACGCCGGAATATGGTTACCGGCGTCGGAATATGCTTACCGGCGACGGAACCTAGTCATCGGGGCCGGAATATGCCTATCGGCGTCGGAATCTGCTCACTGACGGTCATCGGAGTTCGGTCAACGAACTTCGTTGACCGGTCAACGGTCAACGACCACCGGATGTTATGATCTTCATTGTGAGATTTATTGTTTCGTTTCTCACATTTTTGTATGCCTTTTATGGTTTGAGAAATCGCGTTTGTGGTTTGCATTGAGAAGTTTCTGGTTTGCTTTATCGTGTTTGTGGTTTGAATTGAGAAGTTTCTCGTTTGCTTTCAAAAATTTCGTGGTTTGCATTGAGGGGTTTGTGGTTTGTTTTAGGAGATTTGTGGTCTGCATTAGGACGTTTCTGGTTTGTTTTTGTGGTTTGCTTTATCGTGTTTGTGGTTTGCATTATGAGGTTTCTGGTGTGCTTTTGAAAATTCTGTGGTTTGCTTTGTGAGGTTTCTGGTTTGTTTTAATAGATTTTTGGTCTGCATTAGGACGTTTCTGGTTTGTTTTTGTGGTTTGCTTTATCGTGTTTGTGGTTTGCATTATGAGGTTTCTGGTGTGTTTTTGAAAATTATGTGGTTTGCTTTATTGTGTTTATGGTTTGCATTATGAAGTTTCTAGTTTGTTTTAATATATTTTTGGTGTGCATTAATACGTAGGAAATGTGTGAACCTATTATCCATATGGTAATAATCACCCTCATGTTGCTTCAACTTCAGCCGGCGTTTTGGCAACAATGGTTAATGCGTTCAATCCACTCTGCAGCTCCTCTTGCAGCAAACAATAGATCAACCTATGCCTCTTCACCAAGCTTTTCCCTTCAAACTCCTTTGAAACAACTTTTAAGTTGAAAATGCGTCTCCCCATCACTCCCCCTAGCACCAACATGCCCCGCATCTGCATGCTGATAAAAAACATCTTCAACATCTAGTTCAACAGGGTCCAACTCCTTCTCCAATTTTTCCTTAATTCTAGTCCCTCTACTCCCCAAACCAGGAAATCCGGAGGCTTTCACGTCTCTGTTTGGTACCGAATCCTCACCCACGCTGCTACTGCCAACCACAGCTGAATTGCTGCAGCTAGCATCACCATTTGACTCCAACTTTGAGCTTTGAAACTCATTATGAACGCTACCCACCTCTGAACTTTGGGCAGACTCTAGCACACCCTTTCCTGCTTCAACATACAGCTCAAGAGCTTTCTTCTGCATCAACTTGAGCATATTCAAGAACCCATTATTCCTGGAAGGAGTCAAACTCTGTTGAAGACCAAGAAGCACAGCGAAATCAGGGGAAACCCACAAAACCTCCTCGACTGGCCGCCCTGAGAGACCTAGAACGAGCAAAGCAGCGAGGACCTTGGTGAGAAAACAGAATCTGAATACGCCTCGAACGAGACATTCCGATCATTGTCCAAGTAAGCCCTGACCCAGACTTGAGAAACACATCCTTCCACTTTGTTCAATTTTGTCTTGAACTGGGCATCCAGCGGATTCAAGTTCTTGCCGTAGAAAAGCAGCTGCTCGTATTTGGCTTTGGGTTCCTGTACGGACTGGAAAAGCTTCACAATTTCTTAGAGCTTATGATAGAACTCGAGTGAGCTCTACCTGCGTTTTAGGGATTAGGATCAACTAGGGATTGATCCGGAGTTTCAGAAGGGACTAGGGAAATGTGATTGGGATTTGTGAAGATCAAAAGAGAGGAAGAATGGCGGCTGGTCGCCAGCCGTGGAAAGGAAGAGGGAAGGGAACAAGAAGCTGCTGTGCGCAGCAGAGAGGGAAGAGAGGGAGGTGGGGTCGGCTGCCAAAGAGAGAAGGGAATTAGGATTCTTGATTAATCAACTTCTTAACCCTAATTCTAGTTCACAATAGTTTATATAGAAAATAACTAATTTCCTACTACTACCCAATCTATCAATTATTCCCGAATAGCCCTCATAATCCGAATAATAATAAACCGACAATTAACCAAGTACAAAAATATAAGTTTCTATCATCCCCGCTTCCTTCGAAAATCAACCTTGTCCCCAAGGTTGATCCTCTAGCTCACTAGGTCTCCTCTTCATCATTTCCAGCATCCTCAGCATAGTCCTCTGCGTCATCCTCCCATCGTCCCACCAGCATCATCAAGTCTTCCTTGGGGCACTGATGCCCAATGGTGAATCGGCCATCACACTTGAAGCACTTGCCTTCACGCCTCTTCTGGTCAATCTCGGCCGGTGACAGTCGCGCGAAACCCTTTGGTATGGCCCTCGGCCCCATCCTGGCTACCGGAACGGACCCTCCACTGCTAGTGATAGCCCCGGTCGGCCCTACCCCCGCCGCTCCTCCTGCGCCTCCACTACTCCCACTGCTCGACTTCGGAAACCGGCCAATGGCGCTCCTCCAACTAGCGAGCTCTTCCTCCTTATGACCTGCAAGTCGGAAAGCCGTCTTCAGGGAATCAGGCTCAAACACCCGGACTGCCGCTGCTATCTCGGGCTTGAGACCCGCCATGCACAGCCCCACCAAGGTGTCCTCTGAGACTCCCTTGCACTGATTTCCCAACTTGAAAAACTCTGCCCGGTATTCAGCCACCGTGCCGGTCTGCTTCAGTTTTGCCAACTGCTCCGGCGCCCACCCCTCTGACTTCCCAAACTGATAACGGAGCTCTTCCTGAAACATAGGCAGGTGATCGGGGTGGCTGCCGCGGCATAGGATCGTTCCATCCACTCCCACCACTGGAGCGCATCTTCCTCCAGATAAAACGACGCCAGATAGGCCTTTCTCTCCTCCGGGACCGGATGATTTCTAAACCACCTCTCTGCTGCATACAACCAAAGACCTGCATCCTCTTGCCCATTGAATTTGGGAAACTCAATGGTCGGAGGCTTAGCTCGAAAAACCACTCCATCCATTCCCTCATAATTCATATAGCGAGACCCATACCTGTCATTTCTGGGAGTCCTCCACGGCGGCCCCAAAGAAGATCCCGGCATCCGGTTCGGGTTCTCATAGCCATAGTCTCCCGGATAGTTGCCCTGCAGGTTTGGGTAGTTGCCCTGCAGGTGGGGGTACCCTCCTGGCACGTGAGTTGCCCCGTACGGAATCTCCCCGCCAGCTGGTTCCCGGTAGTCCACCCTCCTGTACTGCTGGGCCGTCGGGTTCGGGCGATGCCCGGTTCGTCCCACTTCCGGCCGACCCAGACCGGTTCGGCCCGGTCCGTTTCGGCTCCCTTCGGTTCGGTCAGCTTCGGTCCGACCTATCCCGGCTCGACCGGACCCGGTCCGACCCCCTTCGGTCCGCCCCATGGGGCCCGCCCCTGATCGCCCGCCCGGTTCTGTGGGCCCCCTCGGCCCATCCGGCCCCTTCTGATCCATCTCCGGTTCAGCCCACTTGGCCTGTCGGTCTGTCAGGCTAAGTTCGTCATACTCGGGCCCATCCTCTAGATACAACCACCCCAATCCGTTATGGACCTGCGTGTATTGGCCCATCAGCTCTGGTCCACTGTTCGGCGGAGGCCCATCTACATCATACCCGGCCATCTTGGCCTTTCCCTTCCGGGCCGCAATCTCTTGGGCCGTAGGCGTCGGTAGCAGACCCGGGCCCACGCCTAGCCCTACCTACACTGGGCCTGTCCCCGCACCACCTCCGCCGGTTCCCGGCCCGCCCTCGGCCGTCGCCCGCCCGCCCGGCGCCGTCCCCGCCGTCTCGAGCCCCGGCGCCGCCACTCCTCCTTCGGCGGCCGTGCCGCCTCCACCTGCCGGGACCACCGCCGCCGAGCCCTCGCCGCCGGCTCCGCCTGACACGTTCCCCGCCGACGAGCCCGCGCCCCCAGTGGCGCCGCCGCCGCCCCCTCCTGCTCGCCCTAAGACCTCAGCCACCATCGCCTTCAGCTCCCCAATGGCGAGCCACACCCTCTGCGACTCCGCCTCCCGGGCTCGCGCGTCCGCCTCCCGAGCTCGCGCTTCCGCCTCCCGGGCTCGTTCGCCCTTCAGTCGGGACCGGCGCTCCTGCTCCATGGCCTCCGCCATTTTGGCCATCTCGGCGCGGAGCTCTTCTCCCACCGTCTCGTCCACCACCATACTAGTCTGTGCTATCTAGATACTCAGCAAACTTGGATACATGTTCATACATTTTGGATATTAGTTAGTATATACTAACGAATTTTCAAGTTAGCAGAATAACTAGGCCTCGAATTCACAATCGAAAGCTTTTCTAAAATCCCGTCAACTCAAGGACGGGAGGGGAGGGAGCAGGCCTGCGAGTGTGACTGACCAGCGACGGACGGTAGGAAGGGAAGCGCATTGGCAACGGTGGCCGCATTCGAAAGGCCGTCGGCGGCGATTTCACTTTCCTCCGGAATCACTCATTTGTTCCGCATTTTGACGCCGACCCATTTTATTCCCTTTCAATCTCGCTCAAACCCTACCCACCATTTTCCTTTCCCTTTGTCTTCCACGTTTTAGGGTTCTCTCCTTTCCTTCTCACTTTCTCCTCACCAGTAGCTCTAGCAATGGCAGATCTCCACCCCAAATCGGACATTTCCTTCGTCGAGATTTTCTTGTGCAGCGCGTTTGCTGCTTGTTTTGCCGAGGTAATGCGACTTGCTGTGTTTTGTCATTGCTTGATTCCACTCCTTTGCGGCTCTGCTTAATAGGTCGCCAATTTGGGAGCTTTATCGTCGAGCTTTTGTCAAGTGTGAATTTTACCAATCCGACTATTCTGACGTCTAATAGATACAACCGTCGCAGCTTTTGATCTCTACAGTCGGTTATTTGTTTATTTCAGTTCTGTACAATTCCATTAGATACTGCTAAAGTGAGGCTCCAGCTGCAGCGTCAGACTGCTCCTGCTGGGGATGGAGGAACAAGTGTACCTAAATACACAGGTCTGTTGGGCACCATGGTTACGATTGCACAGGAAGAAGGTTTATCAGCACTCTGGAAAGGGGTTACTGCCGGACTGCATCGGCAGTTTATCTATGGAGGCTTAAGGATTGGATTATATGGACCCGTATGTCCCTGAAGACCCAAATTTTCATTCAATATGGATACTTGCTGCTGTGCTACTAAATGTTGTTGGCTAGACATTGATTTTTCGTGTTCATTTGCGCATATGTGAGGAATTCAGGTGAAATTTTTTCTGACTGGCACTAGTGGAGTTATCCCCCTATACCAGAAAATACTTGCAGCTTTGATAACAGGGGCAGTAGCCATTATTGTAGCCAATCCCACGGATCTCGTGAAAGTCAGGCTTCAAGCTGAAGGGAAACTACCACCTGGTGTACCTAAGAGGTATGATGGAGCATTGGATGCTTATCGTACTATAGTGAAGCAGGTCAGCTTCTTTACAGCGATTTTTCTTTTGTCATCGATTATTTGGATCAGGAGAGTATTAGTTTACCACAGATGGTTTTTTATATACAGGAGGGACTAACTGCCCTGTGGACTGGACTGGGGCCGAACATAGCAAGAAATGCCATCATAAATGCTGCTGAGCTTGCCAGTTATGATGAAGTGAAGCAGGTCAGTGATTCAGGACTCTACCTTCATAACCTGGACTGCTTGTTTGAATTTATGGTTATGGACATGGAGGCATACCGTATTAGAACAATGATTCCTTGATCTCTTTAATACTCATGCAGACAATTTTGCGAATTCCAGGGATCAGGGACGGTGTTCTTACTCATATTCTAGCTGGCCTAGGTGCTGGTTTCTTTGCTGTGAGCATAGGTTCACCCATTGATGTGGTATGTATCATTCGCCTTGTTTTGGCTCTAGGCATATCTATCTAACTATGAGTTTCTTAAATTCTAAGCTCTTTTTTCTTTTTCTTTGTTGTTTTTTGCTTGCTTTCTCCCGTTTTTTGTTGGTTCGGCTCGGGTCTTTTGAACCATCCTTTCTCCTCTCTGCGATTTGTTCTTTATTTTTCTTCTTTATCAATAAAATCCATTCGCCTTTATAAAAAAACGTCTAACATAGTCCAACCAACCACTACACTCCATTTTGGTTGAATAATACCCCTAAAGGAGAAGTAGAAGTAACTTTTATTTTCACAGTAACATTTTAGTTCTGATACTTAAAGGTGAAGGATCACTTCTTAGTCTCATCATGGAACATGCGGTCCTCGGAAGTTCACTTAGGCTTTATAATTTTGGTGTCTCCATATGTGCCTTTATCATGATTAACATCACGATCAATGCCTGAGAGCTTACTGTGGCAGCAGAACACGTATTGGAATGGTCCAGCACTGCTGCTCAAAATAGAAACTTGTCTAGGAACTAGGGAGGAACGCCCATTGGAGAAAATATCAATTGGCAATACTGATCTCTTGAAGTTGTTTATTGAAACACACAAACAAACAAACAAACAAACAGTGAAGCTGAAATTTTGGTTGCTTTCAGATCTGTTAAGTATGTTGTAACGCCTATAATTGTGTCAGGTGAAATCGAGAATGATGGGAGACTCTTCGTACAATAGTACTGTAGATTGTTTCATCAAGACCATTCAGAATGAGGTGATTGTTCCATATTAAATATCCCCAAGTGATTTTTGCTTTCAAATGTTATGATATGGATGTAGTTCTTTTGCTGCAGTTGAATGACTCACTGGAGTATTATTTATTTTGTTGCAGGGGATTTTTGCCTTGTACAAAGGGTTCTTTCCCAATTTTGGCCGGCTAGGATCTTGGAATGTTATAATGTTCTTGACGCTGGAGCAAGTAAGTTGGATTACAAGGGCAATGAACCAACCACACAATCTTCTCTATTTCAACCACTGAACTGCTTTGCTGCCATTTGCTTTCCATGTGGATTCAGGTGAAGAAAATATTCATCAGGGAAGTATATTACGATTGAGCACGACAAGGTGGTAACTCTTTGGCAATTATGGAAGAAGTCGTTACTACTTCTTTGCCAGTAGATTAAAGGTTCAAATTATTGATATCAGCTCCTTTTGATGGGAGCGAAATAACACATCCTACAGGCGAGAGATGACACCGCTGTCGCTGCAGAGTAGATGTTGTAGTATATTTGTTTACCTCTGTATCATTTAGGTATTGTGCTCTCATTTCTACCAAATTCAATCCGATTGTTCCATTCAGAATCTTGCATGTAAAACAAACCGGGTTAATTGCATTGTTGGTCAGTGAGATTACAAAAAAAACGTTCATGTTTGGTCACTCGAAATATTTAAATCCATTCATGGTCACTAAATTTAGTAAAACAATCCAAATTTGGTCACTCTCCGTCCAACTTTGTTAACTTTGTCTAATGTGACAGTCAACTCTCATAGTTGACCGTTAAATGTATGACGTGGCAATTAAAAAACAAATTTGAAATTTCCACCTCATTATCATAACCACTAAAATAAAAATAAAATTAATTTTAACTCTCTAAACCTCACTAATTATCAACTGCCGTCGCGGCGCAGCCTCCATGGCTCCTTCTCCGCCGCAAGGACCCATAGCCCAAGCCACTTTCTTCAGCTCCTCCTCTCTCTTCCTCCGCCTCCGTCTCAGCCTCTACTCACTCTTCCACAGACGATGATGATGTCGCCGTAGCTGCAGAGCGGGTTCGGTGGTGGATTCACGGAGCTCCTCGACGCTAGCGGATGCGACACAGACTTCAGAGGGTATTCTGGTCCTTCTTCTTTGTTCGATTTGTTTCAGACTCCGTTCCCGACGGCGGCGAACTCAACGGTGTTGCTAGATCTGCCGATGTTGTCACCGGCTAGGGCTGAGTCGTTAGAGGTCGTGAACAACCCGGCAACCCCCAACTCTTTGATTTCTTTATCGTCGAACGAAGGCGGGAATAGTAAGAAAAGTAGTAAAGACGGGAATAGCCTCAAGGGAGACGAAGAAGGCGAAGACGGTGAAGAAGTATAATAAGAAGAAGAAGAGTAGGATCTAGAGAAAAACAACAACCACAACTCAAAGAAACAATAAGTCATGTATATTATTTACTCGTCAAACCTCCCCTTGAAAGAAAGTCTCTCTTTAATTTTCTCTTATTGAAATAGTAGGCCAACCAAATTCATTCCGTTGAAGTTTAAGATTTCTCTCGGTAACTGAAGAGTCTTATCTTCTTCATTCTTTTGTTGCGTAGGTTGAAGGCCAAGAAGACCAAGGCCCAAAAGAAGCAAAGGGAGCCGAGATTCACATTCATGACGAAGAGCGAAGTGGATCACTTGGAGATCCCACATACTGATCAATGAGCATTAAACTGAGCTGCCCTGCTGGCCTCAAACTGATTCAAGCCCGGATCAAGGGAGCAGATGAAGCAACCAAATGACCTTGTCCAAAATCAACAACTCCCCGTAGAATTGGCTCCTCGGATAGTTCCCCGCTGCCGCTGCTCCAAATTGCCAAACAAGGATTCCACCATTTTCGGGTGCACTATCCAAGGTACTTTTTGGAGCAGAACTTCGCGAAATGGCAAGTGGTCAGAATCCCCAGAAATTCTTATATTCATCTTCTCATTCCTTCGACTTTTCGCTCTTCAAAATCAGAAATTCTCCTCTCAAAATTAGCTCTCCTAAAATGGTGAAAGGGGTCTCTTATTTTCAGGCAATAAGAGGATGGACAAGTTCGCGGCTGACTCGTCCCGAATATCACAACAAAATCTCACCTAAGACCTAAGTATAAACCTTAGCTGGGTGCAATATCTGCGCAAGTATGTTTAAATATCAACTCGGGCTGGTCCATGTACCCCTACTTCAATTGTTTGAAACATTATCTAGCGGATTGGTTTTTGGTTGAAAACTATAAGGATTAAATTAAAACAAAGCAAAGGTAAATGGTTTGAAAGCTCTAAATGAGAAGGATCGCTCGGGTGTCGCTTCCCCCTAACTACTACCATAGCTCGCGGACTCGAATTGGTCGTTATGGACAAGGCAATCGTGAACCGCTAGGAAGTGCAACTATGGCCGAAGACCACACTCTCAATTGCCAAACCAAGGGATACATTATAGGCTACAAGAGTGCTACTCTTGGTTAAGGCAATTGAGGGTTGACTTACCTTCTCCCTCAAACCGATGGTTGGACTGTTTAATCACGATTAACCTAGTCGTTTAAATCAAGATAGAGGTTTGCCTACATTAACCTAGGTAGATGGCTTGAAAAGCTCAAGGAATCCCAACTCAATTGAGCCTCTTTGGGAAGGAGGGTTTCCCCTCTAACCTTGGTTGAATGACCAATTAGATTGCTAAGCACAAACATGCACAATCATCATGAAAATACCTCAATCATTAAATTAAACAACAACCACAAGCAATCATTCAATTCACACAACAACTACATAACATATAATTAGGGTTTCACAACACCCAGTTGTTCTTTTAAGCCAAACTCTAGCTTGCTTGACAATATTGAACCATGCCTTGATCCTGCAGATGAAACCTTGTTCTGAGATTTTTGTAGCATCCATCACCTCTTCATTTCTTTGTTTCCAGAGCTGTCAACACACAATTCTGAAGTCAACTCCAAGTTCGTCATCTGTCGGGTTTTTCATCAACCAATCTTTGAAAGGGGTGTTGAGGTTTCTTTCAACCATCTTCTCTTTAAGCTTCCTCAAAACAGACTTGGGTTTGGGGCAGCAGTGGATAAAATGCTTTGTCGATTCATCATCATCTTTGCAATAGTTGCAGCTACTGTTATCTGCCATTTTTCTTCTCACCTGCTCGTTGTTTGTGAGCAGGCAATCATGAATGACAAACCAAAGGAAGAGCTTTATGCGGCTAGGGCCGTTCAATCTCCAAAGCATCTTCTAGTCTTGATCTGCAACATCCTCATCAGCATTCGCTGCCAAGTCCTAGGCGAACCTCAATCTGAACCATCCATCTCTTTCTGCACGCCAAATGGTTTTGTCCTCTCCCAAATGTGGCTTAGGCGCTTCCATTTATGCAATCAAGTTAAGCATAACATTAGGAAGGATGTTCCTTACCCTGAACCAGTCTCACTCACCTTGTTCATTAGTCCAATCAGCCACAGATGACTCTCATTCCTCAATAGTAATATCAGTACTCAAGTGGTCTTCCAATGTGATGTCATGGCTCAACCAAGGTTGATGCCAAATACTAGTTGTTTCCCCATTTCTGATACTGTGACATAATCCTTTTTCCATCAAAGGGATAGCCTTAACAACTACTCTCAAGAGGATTGAATTATTGCTTTTCTTCATTGCTAAGATCATCCCATCCTTCTATTTAAAGTACTTTCCCTAAACCACCTGCACCCACAAGCCCGGGGGTTATTGAAAAGTTGCCATGCAAGTATAATCATATAAGTCGAGTTAAGGCATCTAGCCGATCGAAGACCTAACCCCCTTGGTTCGTCGGTCTACAGATAGTATCCCAAGAGACAAGATGTGTTTTCTTATTTCCTTCACTATATATCCAAATGAACCTCCTAATTTCCCTATCTATCGCATCGCAGACCAAACACGGAAGCAAGGTGGTTTACATCACATAGTTAGGGATGGCATTCAGAACAGCTAATGCAAGTGTAACCCTTCCCATGAGGGATAGAGTCCTTGCTTTCCATGAATTCGGCTTGTTATCAATTTCTTCCAAGATATATCTATAAGTAGTCCTCGTCATTCTACCATGTAGAATCAGCACACCAAGATACTTCCCAAGGTCAAGGGTCTCCTGTATTCCTAGTCTACCACAGATCTTAGAACGGGATGCCGCCACGTTCTCAGGGCGAGGCATGTTGCCTCCCAACTTACTCTCCATGGGGTTCTCGGCTAATGACTTTTGCTTTGCCTTTTTCCTTCCACAGGGAATTAGCATAACTTATCCTTTCCCTCCAAGCTCGTTTCCTTCCTTCTTTGGGAGAGATGCCCTCCTTGCTTTCCTGCTTCACATTATCACAAGAACCAACAGTAACAGTGGGGTTCGCCTTGCAAGGCTCTCCTCCACTTACATTCATATCACCCGGTTCCACTTCCTTCACATCCTAACTCATAGGCTTAGGATCAATTCACAGAGTAATTCTCTCCTCACCATCTCTCAGGATCAAAGTTCCCTCATTTACATCAATTAAGGCCTTGGCGATGGCAAGGAAAGGGCGTCCTAATATGAGTGGCATCTCAGAATCCTCACTTATATCCAGGATCACAAAATCCGTCGGATAATAGAATTTCCCCACTCGCACTACCACGTCCTCCACTATGCCCCTAGGACTAATGACAGACCGATTGGCCAAAGTGAAACTAAGTCTTGTAGTCTGTAGTAAAACTATGTCTAGCCTCTTAAAAAGCTTATATGGCATCACATTTATGCTTGCCCCTAAGTCTGGCAAGGAGTTTTCTATGTGATGAGAACCGATGCAAAAAGGTATAGTGAAACTACCTGGATCGGGTGGCTTCTTGGTCAACCTGTTGAAGATGAATGCTGAGCACTCCTCGCCTAGGGTGACATTGGCGAGGTTTGCGAATTTCAGCTTCTTCGAGAGACACCCCTTGAGGTATGTCAAATACCTTGGCATGTGGGCCATTGCTTCGAGGAAGGGAATGTTGAGGTGAAGCTTCAGGAGCATCTCCATGAAACCTCCACATTCTGCTTCCAATCTTTCCTTGTGCACCCTCATGGGAAAAGGTATGGGTGGCATGTACTCAGCCACAGGTGGTGGCGTTGGCAATGCCTTCCTCGCCACTCCTCTCTTTTCTCTTGATGTTTCTTCTTCATCACCCTCTGGTAGAGGGTCTTACTTCTAATTCACTTCTTTGGCAACAACCGGAGTTACCTTCCCACTCCTCAAATGGATTGCATTCACCCCCGCATGATCCTTGGGGTTGGTAAAGGTTTAAGAGGGTAGGCTCCCTTTGGTCTCTAGGTGAGAATCCCGACAAGATTGCTAATTTGAACTTCCAAGTATTGGAGACTTGCTTGATGGCTCCAGAGTCCCGCCTCAACCGAGGTAAACTTGGAGGTTGCCACATCCATGAATTTCTCAATCTTCTCGAACTTCCAAGATCTTGTACTCACAAAGGTGGTCACAAGGTATTCAAGTTTAGAGAACTTGTCGACTTGTTGTTGTTGTAGTTGAAACCCTTAACCGCCTTGTGCTTGGTATGGTTGTTGGAAGTTTGGAATTGAGGCCTTTTTTGGATGAAGGTTGGCTGAGGTTGATAGTTTCCCGTTGGACCTTGGAAACCGAGAGGTCTTAGATTGATAG